GAGAAAGAGAGAGAGAGAAGAGAGAGAGCGACGCGTTGCCACGTGAACACACACACACACACACACATATATAGTATATATATTTAGAAACGTAGAACGTTTCTTACATAATAATTAGCAAACTGATATTAAGTATAAGAAGAGGACAGCCGATTCGATCAGCGTAGTGACGCCGCGCACGCCCGCTGCCACCAACGTCCAACCGGGGGGCAGCTGCGCGACGCCGAGTGACGGTGTGGTCAGCTAGCAACCGAGAGCCACGAGCCGGGTCTAATATTGCGAGAGGGGCCGCTAGCGCCGGCCGTGCAAATTATAGACGGAGAACGCGCGGTGCAGTGCGGATGGGCTGTGATGCCCCAAACAAATGTGTGGTGAAATTACCAACATGTGGAACTGATTATATATTATTGCAGTGGCGGAGATTAGACAGTGCTAAAATAAATTATCAGATGCATATAGAAGAAACGATAGTAGCGAACACAGGACCGAATTCATTGAAAAAACATAAACGTGCGAATTTAGTGCATCGAAAGACACGCATCTCCAATTCACGCTTGATGTAATGCAGCAGGGGCCGCACCGTGCGAACCCCCAAAAATCGCGTATGCGTGGATGAGGAAACGGCTGCTAATTTGGCTGCCGACGGACCGCCCTTGAGTGCTGGGCCAGTAACACGGAACCAACCGACGAAAATCGGCATCCGAGACAACTTCGGCGACGAGCGGAAGTTGCGAGCGCGCCGCGCCGTTGCCACGGCGGCCACCTCGCCTCCGCAGTCAGCGGGACATCGAAGCTTCAAAGGATAGCGTTACTCGGCACAGAACATATTTAAAAGGCCTTGGCACTGCGAAATTGTAAAAACTTAATGTACATAGCGTCGTCAGTTATCTAAACCTCTAATGCATAAATGAATTTTCTTTGAATATTCTTCCAATGCCAGCGTCAATTTCCCCTGGAGACCCATTCACGAAAAAGTACCCCGTCCGTTTATCATTGATTTATTTGTCGTGCAAAGTACCGTCCCAGTTACGTCAACATATATATTATTATAAATATATATATAATATATATATATATATATATATTAAATATGCTATAACACTGCCTAAAAGAACATATTTTGTACCACAAAATAATTTGCTACCCGTATATTAACGCTACAACAGGTATTCAAAGTCTGTGAATAAAGTACCTTAGCATATGTTATTCTCAAGTTTAAATTTTAGTTTTTCATTTTAATGTTTTAATTTCGAAATTTCCCAAAGTTAAGCCTAATCAACTCATAAAACAAAGTTATAAAAGTTAGATAAATTTTCAAAAAGGTGTAGAACGAGCAATTGACAGATAGGCTCAATTACTACAATGGGTTAATTTATCATGTAATTCAGTGCTTTTATCTCTATCTGTAGGAACCGTTCATAAGATAAAATGTGAACCCGTTTATGAGAAACTCTCCTTTCGGTTCTTTTAAAAATGTTTATATTTAAAACACTAAGAATTTTCATTTAGAAAGAACTGAGAAATTCCTATTCAAACACATTTCGTGTTTCTTGCTTTAAAAGAAAGGTAGAAAGCCCCAAAAGTGTTATCGCTAGATGAAGATTTTCAAGAAGTCATTGTTCTCGTGCGAGAGGCGATTGTATGAGATTATAGTTATCGACAGGAAAACAGCGAGTTTAAATGTGTATATGAAGGATATGTCCTGCAATCGTTTGAAACACCTGTCCGTTTACAAGAACAGTAGCGAATATAATTATGTGACGCATTTTGTTTTTAAATGAAGGTGAATAGGGGAATTTCCAGCTATTGTTCACTAAAACATTCATGTCCAGATCTTGATGAATTACATTTCAATTACATTTTCTGATACATGGAGTCAGAAATGGAGGATTACTCCAAGCGAAAAGGGCTCAACGCCTCTCAAAGGGCTTGGAGAAGGGTTGCGTTTACGTAGACGCAACAATTAAAAAAACATGTTTCAAACTGTGACCACAGTGCATAATTGTTGTGTTAATCGAAAACTTGTAAACATCTGACATTAAATTGGTATTAGAGAACATGTACCTTACTGAGCGAAATCAAACAATATTATAAGAGAGATTTTCTATATCTACACATCTTTGTGGTAAGATTTTTCAGTTGTCCCTTTTGTGAAATATAATCGAAAGGGTTTACATTTTTATCCTTTAACTCAAAGTTGCGCAAAACCTACAAACAGTTTGTGCAAACGTTTGTGTTGAGCTCCGTAAGTTGTGCGCTCCGACACGCTTGTAACAGTTTCCTTGTCTCTTGCACAGATCGTGTAGCTGCAGATCGCACGCGCCCCACGACCGGCAACGCGAGCGCGACGGACGCGATGGGCGCGCTGGCCAAGGGAAAGGGCTTGGAGACGTCAGCCGACGCCAGCGCGCAGCGGCAGGCCCAGGAAATCTTGTGGCCTTGGGTGGTGTTCTTCGGATCGCTGCACGTGGCCGCGCTCTACGGCGCTTTTCTGCTGTTCACCTCCGCGCGTCTCCTCACCATTGCCTACGGTCGGTCTGGTTGCGTCTGTATCCTACACGCCCTCCCTCCGACTATTGAGTTTTATTTTTCTTTCATTGTGTTGTTTGCTCTAATACAGAAACATGGTGCAAATCCGATTACTATGAAAAACTTTCGAAAAATGCAAATGTTAAAAAAAAGTTCAAGTTGGTAGACCCATCGTCTCAACGTCTTTTTTAAATATAGAGATTTGCTTCTTAATGAAATCTGTTGTAAACTAGATCTTTGTTATATACATTTTTTTCCAAATAAAAGTAACGTTCACGTAATTTTTTTTGAAATACGGGCATTTTAAGTTAGTGGTGCAATAACACCACATTCGTGCATTATTTTTAACTTCTGCAATTTCCAAAAATTTAGAGTTATACGAAAATAAGGCCTGCCGTTTGTAAGCGTCTTTTACACGAAACAAGTAATAAAGAAATAATCATGGAGCTTCTTTTTTAGAAAATAGTTTTTTATGAATTACAATAAATTCAAATAGAAATTAGGCAAAACTAACCATTTTTAAAATCTTTCATAAAAATCTAATTTTTAGAAGAGATTCTAGTAAAGAAAAAATCTCTAAAATAAATATTGTACTTTTTGCAATTTTCCAAAACACAGAGTTCACCGAACATTGAAGCACCTTCATTGTTGTCTTTGAATCACATTAATCGACTAATTTTGGAAAAAAACTACGAATTATTCGGGCATTTTACCTTAACGAAATGTGTTCTTCAAAAACATATCTTGCAAGAAAGTGATGTACGATTTTCGACAATATAAGTAGTTTTGTGTGATATATAGGTAAAGTGACACCAAATATTTCCCCAAAAATGCTTCAAATGTTTCTCCAAACATTTGTGCAGATGCACTAAATATAATGGCATAAACGTCATTTGAAATTATTCTTTTGATTTTTTTAAAATTACGCAAATGTAATTTTCTTGGAAGTATCTTCAATGTCGATAATATTTACATAAATAATTACTTTACTGTTGTGGAGACACACTTGTCAAGGCCGTCATTCTGCGTCCCAAATGCCCTGGGAAATGTTCTAAGGCATTCCTCCCTGAAGAGGTTCTTAGAACGGCGGCCAGAACTTTAACACCTGTGCGCAGGTGTCTCCGGGACAGTTAAGTAGTTACTGACACCGACCGGAAAGCCTGCAATTCGATGTAAACAGAAAGTCCTTTCAAGAGCACGTGCCGAAAAGAAGGGTATTTACTAGCCTGTCCGGGTGACACCGCTTCCTCCTGTGAGGAAGGTCGCAGAATGGCGACCGAAACGTCGGCACCTTCGCCATGGACGCGGCGTCACCCGGACAGCCTAGTAAATACTGAGCGGAAGCCTACGCTCTCACATGAAAAGAAGGAGTTACATCATCCAACATGGTGCTTCAATATCAAAAATTTATTGTTGTATCGTAGTTCGCGATTGGATGACAGTGTCGGCCTGTCCTGCCAGCTCGTCACTAGGAATGGACATACCGTTTCAATTTTCAACCCACGCGCAACACGAAAAAGACATGGGTGAGCTGTTTCAGCGCACCGATTTTCGCCTGTTCTGCGCAGCACCAGCTACTTAACGAACCACATTACCACAGCACGGGCACGTCCTTTGAAAAGCCTGACCAGCCGCTGCATGGCTTGCGAGAAGTGTTGAGAAATATGTTGAAGTGGCATAAAGTCACTAAATTTTCTGCGGTAATCAACCAAAAATAACACGCTGAAGATGTAATAGAAACAAAAGATGCAATACGTTTTTGAAATGATTCGTATATCTAGTTTAATAACTTGTACAAGGTAATCATTTGGGTGTCTTGATGCATTTAATTCCTGTAAATATTGTGACGCAAACTGGTGCCTAAAGCTCATTGGCTGAAGACAGACAGAGTGCGAATTGGCTCCGCCACACCTTTTCATCACGATTCACAGGGCCGTATTTAGCCATTCTCTTTGGACGAGTCCTCATTGGTTTTTGTTGAATAAAAAATATTTGTTATTATATTGTATATTATTTTTGTAGTGAACAAATCATACTAAACAATATTATTTTTTACATGGCTCTCATTCCCCCCTGGATTCGCAACTGACGATATGCTGTCGATTTTTTTTCATAGCGAGAACGGCATCATCAAATATCTAGGATTGATACGAAGCTACAATAAAAAACAATATATGCAAAAACTCATCATGAAAAAATTTAAGATTCTACAACTAAAACCACTCATTAATTTAAAAAGTAAAATCTCTCTAAACAATGCAATAGCCCTATACAAACATATTATCCGACCTGTTATGACATATGTGTGCCCTATCTGGTTAAATGCCTCGAGAACCAACTTAAACTAAATCCAAGTCGTTGAAAATAAATACCTCATAGTAATTACACAGGACACATGGATCGTGTTAAACTATACTAATTCTAGTTGCACAAAGAATTGAATATCCCACTCATAATTCCATTCATTACCAAGAACTCCAGCAAATTCTAGTTACTCATCAACCTAAACCATCACCTATCCCGTTTTAACCTTGCTCAAATTCCAGATTCAGAACAAGAATTAAAACAGGTTTTCCAATTCAGCTTCTTTGAGCATAGAGACCGAATCGAAAAAGTAAGTAAGACGCTTTATGAGCTCCCTTACCCTAGAGTAGTTAGTGTTAGAAGTTAATTAGTAAGGTTAATTTAAGTTACATAAGTAAAAGTAATAAGTGTTGATCTATGTAAGTTGCGAGGCCAATAAAAATAAAACGAAACTGGGAAGACAAAACAACAACGCAAGAGCGAGTGCGGCGTGTTGCAGCAGCGCTCCTGTTCGCGGCGGGCGGCGTGGGCGTGACCGCCGGCGCCCACCGCCTGTGGTGCCACCGCTGCTACAAGGCCACGCGGCCGCTGCGCATGCTGCTCGTGGTGATGAACACGCTCGCCTTCCAGAACCACATCCACGAGTGGGCGCGCGACCACCGCCTGCACCACAAATACACCGACACCGACGCCGACCCGCACAACTCGACTCGCGGCTTCTTCTTCTCGCACGTGGGCTGGCTGCTGGTGCGCAAGCACCCCCACGCGGAGGAGAGAGCCAAGCTGGTGGACATGAGTGACATCGAGCAGGACGAGGTCGTCATGTTCCAAAAGAAGTGAGATCCGCTTCCGTTCTTGCTTGCATGCTTTCTGCTGCTCTGCTCGGGTGTGCGTGACTATCAAATTATTGACGATACAATTACCATATTAGTTGTGTACTGAATAAATATTGTGGGATGTTGTAGTGATGTGCAAAAATGTTGAGGTCCAGCATACGAGGTCGTGAATCTGAATTTGCCAATCAATCGTGTGTTATAATTAGAACTCCGATTCTGATGGCCAACAATTCTTTAAAAATGACTTTGAAAATTACTTTAAATAGGAAGGAAATGACCTAATTTTTTAACAAATACTCAAAAGTTTTATGAAAATGTTTACTTATGCAACGAATTTTACTGTCACTGCTGTCCCTCTGACCGGGAGGTTGTAGGTTCGAATCCCAACGATGACAGGATTTTCGACACCAACTTGTCAACTAGGTTGAATTCACTCGCTGTCTGAAGGAGAAATCTGGCGGCTGTCTGCTCTGATCGGTAGTTTTCCATGCTTTCTCCGATCAATACCAGGTGAAGTCCACAGCAGGTGAATACGGTCCACGGACCGCGCCCGATGTTTCCTTCCTCTTCTTTGTCTTATCCTCACTCTTTACACACACTCACTCACCTCTCCGACACATGCCGGGAGACAGGCCGGGAGCTTAGTGCTTGTCCCGGATGGGGCAGTACCCTGTTGGTGGGAGATACCTTCTTAGGGAAATCCCACTAAACCGACGGTAGGTCGGGACCGGATCACACCATCTAACGGGAGAAGACCACTATCATCACCCCCTCCCGAGCGAAAACATGCACTACACATGTTATTAACGACCTCAGTAGTTGACACGCCCAAAGATCCCTATAATTCCGAGAGCTCGAAAAACAGTGTCCACAGCAGTAATGATTTTTTTCATGAACTGTTGATACATTAAAAACTGTTTTAGTGTGTCTCATTGTAAATTCATAAAACAACCACTAACAAAAAACACGAAAATTAAACAAAACATCTAAAAATGACAAAAATGACGCAAAGGTCCAAAATTGAAAAATCGCACAAAATGACTTAAAAATGCCCAATAACAATATATTTCCATCACCTATGTGTCATTGTAAACATTCATTTACATGTATGCTGCGTCTAGAATGCATCAAGAAAAAGATGACTTGCCATCAGAATTGGAACTCTGGTTATAATAAAATGCAATGATACAATAGCCTGCAACGCTTTATTCAGTTTCTAAAACGTTCATTGAATTAAAATGTCGTAAAAATAACTGTGAGTTGGGTTCATTTGTCAATATATGTACACCTGAATTCACAACCTATTAGAAAATTTTGATTAGTACAGCAGTTAATATGGAACTTACGTATTTGTACCATTACACATTTATTTTGTGTTTGAATCTAAGACATATTTTCTTTGCAGATATTACCGTGTCTTGATGCCGTTAATATGCTTTATTATCCCAACAATAATACCTGTATACGTGTGGAATGAGACCTGGGAAAATGCGTGGTTTGTTGCAATGGTACTTCGCTATACCTTGTCTCTCAACGGCATTTTGCTAGTCAACAGTGCTGCTCATATGTGGGGTAACAAACCTTATGACAAGTGAGACAACTATCATTTTATTTATTTATTTATTTATTTATTTATTTATTTATTTATTTATTTATTTATTTATTTATTTATTTATTTCAATGCACTAAATATTCCAAATCATTCTTTACTAGAATGTTTATTTATATGGTTTCATTTCAGAACAGGATACTGTTTTGTAAATTGAGAAATTGAGTTTGGGACAGGTTTTATTCTAATGAAAATATCAATTACTATACTAAAATACTAGTGACTTAAACAGTCAGCCATCTGTGGGGAAAATGCATTAATTAGAAGCATCCGCTCGGGCGGGCCGCGGGGGTGGGGCGTTGGCGTCTAGGAAGAATGTTTGGGAGTGGCGAGGCGGGAGGGCAGGGGAACTATAAATTCCAATATATTACTGGGACTGTGCTGAATGTTCAGTGGTAAGAAAGGATTCCTTCAAACGTCAGCCTATTCCAGTTCTATATGAGCAAAAATATGTTTTTTTGTCAGTGTAATTCAAGCAACGTGTACCCAAAACGGTTGGCTAATGTTTGGGCTTATCGATACTATATGGTATTCTATTACGAGACAAATTCACTGACGTCGCGTTATCTCAAGCCCGCTGTACCCCCCCCCCCCAGTTTATGTTCAGCTATGAAGATTTTAGTTGTGGCAAGTCTATTTACTTCATTTTTCAGGTCTATCAAGCCTGCCGAAAATCCTGCTGTGTCCTTTTTAGCAACGGGAGAAGGTTGGCACAACTATCATCACACTTTCCCTTGGGACTACAAACCCGCTGAGCTAGGCAACTATCGTGCTAACTTTGCTACTGCTTTCATCGACTTCTTTGCTCTCATTGGCTGGGCCTACGACTTGAAGACAGTTCCAGCCTCTAGTATACAAAACCGAATGGCACGCTCTGGAGATGGAAGTCATGAGATGTGGGGCAGGGGAGAACAAGGATAAGCCTAAAAAGACACTGAAGATGCGGTGACAGAATAGGAATAAGGAATTTAATAATTTATGAGTGATGAAAAGTGAATGGGACACAACATATAAACAAATAATGTATGGACAATAAATTACATTACAAATTACGGAAAATTGCACCAACAAGAATATGTTTTCGGAGTAGAGGTATCTATGATCATTAAAAGATTCTTGAGCAATAAAAGACATTTGTTATCATCAACGAAACTTATTTATTTCTTTGCAATCCTCTTTAGTTTCTGGAATTGGTGATATTTTGCAGATTACTATGAAAAATGTAAAAATTGTTCGTTTATTGAATGAGTATAAATGAGAGAGTAATGCAATTAGCACTATCCTTTCGAAATGTGTGAAGAAACCATTTGGAAACGTTTGTGAGAAAATAGCGTTTGAACGTTTCTGAAATTGTGAAATTTTTATCATATTTTGACACAAAACGGTTGAGTTTTCGAGAAGATTTATATGGAATTATTTAAAGTTCATTACTCATAAATATAATGTGAACATATTGCCGCTACTGTAAATTATAAGAAAAACACAAGTCAAAAAATTACAGTGTACTTTTTGAAAATTCAAAAGAATTGAGCAAAATGGCGTTTAGATGATCGTAAAGAGTGAATTTACCTTAATCCCAAATAAAAATTCAAAGAAAAAATTTGGAACCGTTTTAAGAAAATCTGTTTTTCGTATTTCTATTATAAAATATGGACAACAAATTTCATTTGAAGGAAAAAGCTCTATCTTTAATTTTGTAGTTATAGGAAGAACCCGAAAAAATTCAAACTTTTGAAATTTTCGATAATTCAGAGTTAAGCGTGAAAATCGGAGCTACGCAAGATTTGTAAGTGCATTTCCCCTATTCTTATTAGAAATTTAAAGAAACAATTTGGAGCCATTTTTCAGAAAATTTTGAAAACGTCCGGAGGGCATTATATAAAGTACCCACAAAAACTTATGAATGATTTTCAAAATCGCTTATCTTCGACCCAGGCCAAATTGACAGGGGTTTCTTCAATTTGGAAAGAATCCTATTCATGGCTTAGGCGCTAGTGGTGTTCACATTCACCGACGAACGGGCGGACGTTTTGAAAAATTACTTTTTCGGTATCAGGGGGACCCCAAAATGTGTATTTCCGTTGAAATCTCGAAATCGATTTTAAATGACGTGTTCTGAAATTAACTTCAAGAACTGTTAATTGGATATATTTATGTACTAACGACAAAGCCGCTATGATTTTTAGAATACAACTTATATTAGAAGTCTAAAACCTAACATTGCTCACTTCTCAAAGTAAATTTAAAATTATTAACAAACGATTATTAAAAAATCATGTATAAAGGCAAAATTGCAAAATCAAACTCACTGTCAACGTAATTGCGGTTGTTTTCTGAAAATTTCCTGGTAATCTGAAAACCCAATTCCGCCCATTGGAGGTATTCCGCGAATTCAACTTTTGTCCTGCGAGAGAGCGACGTTTTTCAGCTTAAAAGGCGGAATTCCGCCCAATCTGGCAACCCTGTTTTTCTTTATCCTTTCAAACATTAATTAACCGTTTTCCGAGCAACCGATTCCGACTAACCGAGGTCCAAGCCGGCTGCCTGAAGACCCAGGAGGGTCTACGACGGAATTTGCTTACAGGTGCACTTTTTGGCCGTGTATAATGAAGAAGAGCTCTCCAATTCTTTAATTTGTTTTTTAAACAGATTTTCTCTTATTAGATATCGCACACATTGTTACCCTGGTTATGCTCATTATAGACAGGTTTTGAACAAATACTACACATCTTTGTTTCCTATTTCTTACCCAGGAGCACAAATGACATCTGTTTTGGCATTGTTATAAATTGTTCTGAGTTGTGGAAGATCCTTCCTCCCTGAAAACTTGTGTGATGGACAGGCGACACTTGTTATTCAAACACTTTTTACATTCTGGTAGGAACCATATTCTTTGCAGTGTATCAATAATAAAAATTCGTATAATCTCATGTATTCGAACATTCAGTCATGGTCGGCAACATTCCTGTCGCTGTGCAGTTTTCCCGCAAACCCTGGACCAATAAACCAATAAACAAACAAGCAAAGAAATAGTCTTTTTCATATTAGATTCAGTAACGCTTTCGTAAAATGGTTGGGGGAACATTTATAAAACACCGTAACAAACAAAGTTACAAAAAACTACCCTAATACCTTGGATAGTTTTCACGTAAAGTAATGAAAATGTTGCTTCTGAGTCCAATGAACTTCGATTAAATTCAATAATTTCGAGGGTGAACAGTGCAAAACACTGGCAAAGATGTGTTATTGTAATACCTAATTAAAATGGAGAAATACAATAGCCTAAGATATCACTTACTCATTAATGTCGAATCTTTATTAGGCCGATGCTTACCCTTATACTTGAAACCAGGATAGTTTTTACCAGGATAGCCGTGGGAAGGTTAATTTAAGTGAGGGGAGTCATGGCTAAAAAAAAATTTGAAACCCCACGTTAAGAAGCAGCAACCTGTCTTTCTCCAAAGATAATCGCTTTATGGACAATATTTTTGGTATTATATAATATATTTGGTATTTTTGGTACCGATTAATTTTAGCTAATAATGCTGCTAATCATGCAATTTTGTTTCAATTACAGGATATTATTTGGAACGAGTTAAAGGCAAATTTTATCATACCGTGTTATTTGATATGGGATGATTTAGAAGCATTTCCCTTTCCCTGAAAACGTTGGAAAGATATACGTTTCTGAGATTCAGCGCCAGTTTATTATAAGTAATCGTACCGCCTCAATTTTGTTATTACAGAATATATATGCAAATTCATATATAATTGACACCAGATTGAGGCAAATTTAGTCGCGTAGGCAAATTTGATACAAATAATGGTTTAGAAGCATCGACCTCCTCTTTCTTCGAGAAGGTCGTAGGATAGACGTTTCTGAGATTCAATGTCGGTTAATTTTAACTAATCGATCCCGGCAACCTTGTTTATATTTCAGAATATATTTGGCAAAATTTAGTGGCACGTTTTGCAATGCAGTGTGAAGTGGTAAGAACGTTGGCTTAGATGGAAACCTCTCTCAATCCCCCGAAGACAGAGGAATGATGTAACTGAGATTCAATAGTGATTACACCACCAATGATACATATTATGTAGTAGCCCATTTCAATTATGTTTTATCAAAGGAAGCAGTATTTTCTATTATAGCAGGATTTATTCACTGATATCCTCTATTTACAGGACCAACAATAAATCCTAAATAATTAAAAATACCATTTACAGTAATATTTATCCGAGTTAATTTAACATTATTCCCACAACACTTTCCTGGATTAGCAGAAATACCTCGACGATTTTCTGATTTTCCAGATGCTTACACCTCATGAAATATTTTATCTTGACTAGGTTCAGGACTAGGATAGACTTTCAACTATTTCATTAATTTGTGTTACTCGTATCATACTAAATGTTATCTTATGAGAAAGAATAATTTCTATCGAATACTTATATTTTCCATAAATTTAAGTAGATCTTTAGAATGGTAGCAAAACCTTCCTCCTGCAGAACATTCCTATTCAGAACTTCCTATTTTTTCTAATTATTAATATGGCAGGAAAGTACGTTGAATTTAAGCTGCATTAATAAAGAATTCCTTTTTTTAGTATATGGCTACAAGATTTAGTTCAAATTTACGAAATAGTTCATCCCCTCTAATAGAACTTATCTTCTGTCATGATCACACATTAATAATTCTATTAATAATTACCATTCTTGTTGTATATATCATAACAATATTATTTTTAACCCCTATACTAATAATTTGTCCTAGAAGGACAAACCATTGAAATTTTCTGAACTATTATACCTGCAATTACACTCATTTTTATTTCTTTATTATCATTACTATTAATATATTTATTCGAAGACTCCATAAACCCATTAATTACAATAAAAACAATTGGGCATCAATGATATTGTTCATGTGAATATATAGATTTGAAAAATATCATTGAATTTTATTCCTAATATTTTTTCTGCCTTAGATAATATCAGATCTTTCCGTCTATTAGATGCCGATAATCAAACTTTTTTATCAACAAATACCCAAATCCGAACATTAGCTACAGCCGCTGATGTCATTCATTCTTGAAGAACCTCCGCCTTTGGTTTAAAAACTAATGCAACTCCTGGTCGATAACTTAATAGTTAATCGACCTGGTTTATATTATGGGCAATGTTTTGGAATTTTTTGGTGCCTATCTTAGATTTATTCCAATTGTAATTGAAAGAGTTAATTTAAAAAACTTATTAATTAAATTAAAAATGATTCATGAGATGACTGAAAGTAAGTCATGATCTCTTAAATCATATTATAGTAATTAACGACTACTTCTGATGAAAGAAATTAGTTAATTATATCATTAGTCACATTAAAATTATTACTAAAGTAATATTTCTTAATTCCTCAAATTGCTTCCATAATATCTATAATAATTTTCTTTATTATTGTTATATTATTTTTATTAAAACAGTAATGATGTCCTAATCCAACCAACCCTATCCCTTAAAAATTAAAATTATTCCATCAACCAACTGAAAATGATAACTAATGTTTTTTCATCATTTGATCCAACATCAAATATTATAGATATTCCTATAAATTGACCTAATAACCCTTCTAGGATTAATAGTTATTCCATCTTGTTATTGATTAATTCCTAATCGAAGATGATTAATATTCAATTTGTTAATCAATTAATTATAATCTGAATTTAAAACACTATTAATCGGAAATTAAAATATAGGAATTCTATTCATTTCTTTATCTCAATAATCTTATGTAATAATTTCCTAGGATTATTTTCTTATATCTTCACAAGATCAAGCCATTTCACACTTACATTATCCTTAGCATTTGATTAACATTTTTATTGTAACGGTACAAGCTCCTGCGTTGTGAAATTTCCACGAGAAAAAAA